CATCATGGGAAGGTAGGTATAAAAGGGCTTGCAATTCGTCATTCTGGGACAACCCAGATCAGGCAATAAAGTGACTTTTCTCCAAAAAGAAAGACATTCAAGTACTGACAACAGTTCTGTATCTTCCTTTCTCAGAGCCTTTCTGAAGCTCTGCATACATATGCCTTATAGGACTACAGAAGAGTTGCATGCTGCCTGCTCTAGAGACAGTTGATGCAGCAGAATGAACATGGCCTTGAAGGTCCAGAAAATGTGGCCTCAATCCCACATTTATGCTTTCTGTGCTCTTGAGTAGGCTGCAGCCTCATGAAGCTTCAGGTTTCCTCACCTGTAAAATGGGTGTATTACCCACCTCCCAATGTTGTTTGGAGGCTTTATTTGTTTCTATGTTTATCCCCTTTCTCCTCTGAGTTACAGGTAGGCTTCTTGAGGTCCCTCTTATTTGCCTTTATATATTCAGTCCCTGGAACTGTGTCTTTCATGTGGTAAATGCTCAGTAGATACTTGTGATTAGCTTAGAAATTAAATTAGTTGATACTTATGAAATACCAGGACATCTGATTGACACAAGTCCCAAAAGCCAGGAAGACCTCTAGAAAGCTTAGGTATTGGCACTAGAATTATAAATCAGCCAAAATATACTAAACCTGAAGTGTTAAATCTTTTTTCTTTTATGCTAGGAATAACACATCAAAACCCTAGGGAACTAAGAAACAGAAACGGGAAATGCAGGAGATAAGTGCGTTAGCAGTTCTTGTTAATGAATAACAGCATACACAGAGCAGGAAAAATCTTGATGTGTAACCTTACTGAAAAACATACTTTTTTACTCAAAAACGTTCAGCAGTACCTGCTAAATGTGCCCAGAAGCAGGAAAGCTCTAAGAGGTTAGGGATAATGTCTCTTTGGGAGAACTAGGAGGGTAGAGGGTCTTATGTTCCATCTTGAAAACGACTTCATACTCAAAAGGTCTATTTTGAGAGTTTCATTAGATGGTTCTAGTCACCTGTCCTGGCTAAGCTATCTACATTTGCAGAAATTACTTTTTTTCTGAACAACAGTCACCTAAAAGGATTTCATTGCATTCAGAAAACATGAAGGAAAGGTTTACATCAAAACAAAACCTTGACAAATGACACTTTTCATACTCTCTCCAGAGCTGACAATGCCTTCAAAAGACTCAAGGTATTAGAGTAATGAGGTTAAGAAGGTCTTCCACCAATACTCTGAGAATTACAGCAACACAATGAGCCAAACCTATCCGATGGTCAAACCTATCAGATGGACAGAACAGATGGTGTAAGGATTATGGTCAAGTGTCTAGAGAGCACTTCGTTCAGCAGAGGGGAGGTTCCAATCTAAGTGATCGTGTAAAAGCTGCTCCCAGGAGGTGAATTCTCAATCACTTCCTAGTTTGATGCTTCCTACTGAGTGTGGGTGACTCTGCTCATCACAGAATAGTCCCATAGCAGGAAAGAGACACAGGTGCCTTCATTAGTAGTGCACCTTTGTTTCTGGACTTAGGAAGAGTTGAAGGGTCCATCATGTGGTTCTTAAGCCAGTGCAATTTCTAAGGAAAGGAGAGAACTTGGAAGTGTCTGGTCTTTGCCCAAACCTTTTAATTAGCAGCAGGTAAAACAGTTTATAAGAGAGTTAGGATGGCTTAGCTCCTGTTACAAATTATGCAAGCTAGCTTTTATGATTGGAGAATTTTGACTAAAATTATGACAAAAATCTGACATTGACAGTCTCCTTACCCAAGATTGTCCTGCTTAATTCTTAAAAAATGACAGTATAAATTAGTGAACAGATTATAGTATAGGCTTTAGAGTCAGAGAAACTGGGTTTGACTCTGAAATTAAAGTGTGTGGCTTTAATTTACTGAACTCTCAGAACCACATTTTCCATATTAGTACCTTTGACATCTATTTAGTGAAACTAAACTTCCACTAGACAATCAAACTTATGCTAAGTTCTCAAAATATGATTTGTGCTAATTATTTTTAAAGTAACCATGAAAAAAATGAAATGAATTTGATACATCTAAAAGTTTGACAACATCATTTTATTCTTCTTTCTGAAATAAAATTATTTTAAGCCAATTGGGAAAACCTTTACTCTTATTCTAATGCTGTAAAGGCGTTATTTGCAGTTTATAAATTCAAAACAAAATATAGCACTGTATGCAAAGTGTCAGGACAGTGCCTATTACTGAGGCTTCAATACCTGCATTTCTTCCCTTCTTTGGCTTGTTCTTCAGATTTCCCTAATGGAACGTTTCAAGGCAGCTCAAAGTTCTAGTGTAGAACCATGAGATAATTGAATTTCATGCACTTCAATTCTAACCAGTCCCAGCTCCAAGTTTAAGAAAGGGAAGAATAATGCCAATAAGTCCTATAAATGATCAACATCTGAAACAGATTCAAATCAGAACTATTTATTCAGGACTTGCTACAGACAGGGAGCAAATAAGGTATAGTCTTTCTGCCAAGAGGTGAAAAATAGAGTTGGAAATATAACAGGCAGGTTAAATATGGGTTTCACCATGTCTGAGGGTGTTCCATACTCTCTGATTGCAGACCGTCAAAATTAGGGGTGGAAATAACAGATGCCCAGTCTAGACCAGCATGTTTCCACGGTTTCCCTGTTTCCTATCTGTGGCCCTCCTAATATGACCTCATGAAGAGAGAAGCCTAAGGCTGCTCTAATTCACTTACTGCTACCTAAAAGGACAAATGGGCACTAGTGAGGAGAGAAAAGGCCTACATGTTTGTTTTTTCTGTTTCCCCTTCCAGCATCTTTATCATCATTTGACTGAAAAAGTGAAAGTGACTCTTTATTTGAAGAAAAGTAGATCCAAGAGCATAGTGTTTATATTTGCAAGTTGGAAAATACACACTGTTTCTGTTTGTTATGTTATTTTTTTAAAATGTGATGATATATCAGTCAGATAGATTCAGGCATGTAAGAACAGCCTAATCTTGTAAATATCAACTTCATTGAGTCAAAGCTGTCTTTTCAATCAAGCCCCTAAATCCTAAGGGATAAGGGCAAATAAATTACACAAAGATCTTGACTGGTCATTTAAAATATAATTTTGTCTAGTTTTCTATCGACCTGAATAATGTCTTTCTGTAAACTTCTTTTTTAATCCACTTTTGTAAAATGAAGTCAGCTACTTTGAAATGAGTGTTCTACCAAAGAAAATTATAGCAATATGATATAATGGGTAGAAACTTATTTTGATAAACATCAAGAAATACAAAGGAAAATTAAAAGCTGTGACTTTACCACCTGAATTAACTGTTGTTATATCCAGCTTTTCCCCTCATGCCAAATTTTTAATCATTGACTCAGTAAATTCCTATTTAGTGTATACTTGTCCAAGGCACTGTGCTAGGCACTTGGGAATGTTTCTATAAAGATGAAATACTTTCTGTCATTTTAGGCTTTTTAAAAATAAGGAGAGAGAAATGAAATTTATAAAAACTAACTTTTAATTTGTCATGAATACTATGTGCGAAAGTTATAGAAGGCACATTGGAGGACATAATATTTAAACTTCCAGTGAGTAAGAATTAATAATAAGAAGAGGCTGGGATGTGTGAGGACACTCTTAGGGAAATAGCATGGTGTTTACAAATTGCATATTGTATTATGGTCTACATTAAAATCCTCTCATATCAATATACTTCTATAGCTGGGCTGGGGAACCTTTTTATCTGCCAAGGGCCATTTGGATATTTATAACATCATTTGCTTAATACAATTAACTTAATATAAATTCATGTTGCTATGAAAAAAACTCTTAGATTTATTGAATTTCAAGTCCCACCTCTGGTTGCTTTAGCAGGGCTAGACCAAATGATTCTGTGGGCCTCATACAGCCTGCAGGCCGTACATTCCCCATCCCTGTTCTATAGCATAGGGTTCCTTATTCCATGCTAGGAATCTGTTATGTGCAGCTTACATACCAGTCTTTTCTTTTTTAATATTTTAGGAAGATAATTAAGACATAATGATCCAATTCATTCATGGGCACACAACCTTAACAACTTGTGAGATGATTTCTTTAGGATACATTTAAATTCATAGGAATGGACTTGTTTACTCAAAACATACACACATTTTTAAAGATTTAAAAAATATATTTCATTGATTTTTTTACAGAGAGGAAGAGAGAGGGATAGAGAGTTAGAAACATCTAAGAAAGAGAATCATTGATCAGCTGCCTCTTGCACAACCCCCACTGGGGAAGTGTCCGAAACCAAGGTACATGCCCTTGACCGAAATCGAACCTGGGACCTTTCAGCCCACAGACAATGCTCTATCCTCTGAGCCAAACCGGTTTCAACACATTTTTAAAGATTTTTATAAAGCATATTGCCAAATTCATTTAAGAAAAGATAGGCTAGTTTATACTCCCACCAAACTTGTATGGGAGAATACATTTCTTCACATGTTCAAGAACCCTTGGTATTATTCCTTCAAATTCTTGCCAATTGATTGGCAAAGAGGTAAAAAAGCATTTCACTCTTTCTATTTGCATTTCTTTGATTTCTAGTGAAATTCAACATTAAAAATATTTTCAATTAGACAGTGGCACATTAGCTATTTAGTGTTTAAGACTCAGTAATATAATAAATCAATGATGAGAAGAAACAATGAAAGAAGGTGTTCTGATTCCTATTTTTACTTTGCTATACTTGGCTTGCTGAAGGAATATGGATACATTAAAACTAGATTTTCAGTAGTTGAAAAGAATTTGGGAAGGATATATGAATTGAGAAACTTTTACTATAAATGCCATGACCTTTAAAAATTACAGAATGTCCTTATATTACCCAAATTCCATACAACATATCAACTGTAATAAAGAAAATACTTTTAGGAATTCTAGTTAAAAATGTAGCCTCTACTTAATCCAAATGTTGCTCATAATTAATCCATGAATAATTTCTTTAAGTGATAATGCTTTTTTTTCTTTATTTTTCTCCAAGGAAAAACTGGTCTACTTCCTGGATTGTCCTTTCGAGTAGAAAAATTGAATTTTACAAAGAATCCAAGCAGCAGGCTCTGCCTAATACGGTGGGTGGTTTTCTGCTTCTATTGTTCATCTTTACAGAAATACCATTGAATTAAAAATTTGGACTTATGCATAGTCCATGGACGCGGGCATTAGGTAGTGAAGATATGGGCTCTGGATAGGAGGTAGGAAGAGGCGGGGATGGAGATATCTGTTATACTATCAACAGGAAAAAATATATTTTTAAAAAGTTTGGATGCAGCAAAAATCACACTAAAACCTCCAAGCTACCACAGTCTAAAAGCAGATGGAGGAAATAGCTCAATAAACTTTTAATCAGATGAAGGGAAAATAGAACTTGGTGTCTGTTTTATTAAGTGGTGCATTTGGAGAATAATCACAAAATAAGATGAATGGTGAGCAGCTCTCTGGTAATACGAAGGTAACCCTTTAAATTAAGGTGCCATTTATAAACGCTTTATTCTTATTTATGAAATGATCACTAAATGCAGCTACTTGCTCAAATAATGTATTATAAAGTGTGTTATAAAATGCATTAGTAATAAATGCTTAACGGATGAGACTATGGGAAGCTGTTTTAAAGAATATTATAAGACGTAAATCGTGTTAAACCATGTATGTGCATCTTTAATACATGAATTTAAGTTGTTATCTAGCATGCTATAAAGTGCTCCACACATTAATAAATAATAATAAACTGTTTATAAATGGCACCTTAATTTAGGGTGCTACCAATGAGGAAACACTCTAAGTTAACAAAGTGATTTTTTATCTTAGTCTAGCTGAGGCATTTCACTATATCCCACTAACCTTTCCGAATATATCTATGACTCCATCTAATGGAGCTAACACAATTTCTGTATCCTCTGGTTATTACAAAGTGAAATTTGTAGGGTGTCTTTATGGTACCTGGAGGAGGGCCTCACGTGTGCCCACAGGGATTTGACAGTGATAGCAAGGTGGAAAGTTTTTTTATTAGTTACTGGGGCAATTCAACCCCTAAACCTTGCTGCCCAAACACCAGGGCTGCAACAGGATGTAGGAGACTGGGCAGGTGGCCTAGCTGACAGCCTCCCGATCAGGAAGGACTGTGGGCAGGAACCCACCTGCCACACCCCATCGGCCTGATGGGCGGCAGGGAAAGGGGCGCCTGGCAGGAGTCAACCACAATGAACTCATTTGTACTTGGCAGGTAATGAAACGATGGAAAGTTCTTTGCTTTCCAGTCACCAGTCATGTATGCTATGTAATCCTCTTTAAATAGGAAGTAGAAAATCTTTTGCTGGGAGACGTTTTCATTTAAAGGAGAAGATTTTAGTAAGAACAAAAGGTAGCATTTGGCTTGCTCCTGATAATTGCAATAGCCTTTATCCCAACGTGGCTTGCTGATTTTGGAATCTCCATGCAGTCCAATCTGTAAACTAATTATGAATAAATTAAAAATATATCTCATGCCTCTGTATTTTTAATTCAAACTGCCTCAGAAATTTGTTTTAAGGCTTTGTTTTTATATTTTGGCCACAGTAAGGTTAAGATAATCTTTTTAAGAAAGATAAAGTACCCCGAAGGGCCAGGCACAAAACAGCCCCAACCCCTCACAGGCCCTTTGTCGCCCTTGAATGAGTTCTCAGGGGAAGGAAGTGCATCAGGGAGGGCAGTGCTTGCCTAACTGTGTGTGGCTGCTGAGAAGATCTCCCTCCTCCCAGGCAACCAGAGCCCACTGGGGCAGAGTTCACTCGAATGTGCTGGGGAAATGGGGGTGATTGGATTCCAAGTTGGTTTATATTTATTATTTTAATCCCCTTGTATGAGAAGATAGCATTATCTGCTGTTGAATTTTAAAACTCCCTTTTCGATGATAGGAAAACCTTGCAAGTCAGCTCACTTATCTCACGCCTCCAGTTCAACCTTCGAAATTGTTGTACCTTGACAATCGATTTTACTTGTAGAGGAAACTTGTTAACAGGTTTTGGTGGTTGTTTGGCAGTCCCTACTTATGACTTCTGGCCCCGTTTTCAGTGATCTTAAGGTTTCTCCTGGGCACTCATTGTCTTCAAAGGGAATTCAGGGCAGGAACCAACTGTGCTTTGTGGTAATTGGGGAAGAGAATTACAGATTCGTGTTTGTGCTGCATGAGTTGTCTTGCTAGTCAACTTCTTGGATACATTTCTAACCAAGTATTAAAGGCCTAGTGGGATAGCCCACATTTCCCAATTCCAGTTTTGGAGAAATGATACGATAATTGCCAGGCTTGATTAAAGATGCTGTGGTTTTGTTTTGAAAGAGATTTATGCCCCAATTTCTGAAATTTTTTTGTGCCCCTGGTGTTATCCATGTGCTTCTGGAGAAAAGGCTGTCCTTCCCTCCAATGGGGTCAGTAGAAATTGCCTGAGTATGTGCAGATGCAGTTGAAAAGAGTAAGGGGCATTTTAATCTTTACAGGAATGCTCTTTGAATGTTAATGCAGTGGTGAACTAAGCAACAAAGTAGCTAGGAGCAGGACTTTGAAGTTCAACCACAGTGAACTCCATTCTAGTTTTGCCATTAGGAGCTGACAATTACCCAACTTCTCTGAGCTTTGGAATCCTCATCTCTAAAATGGGATAGTGTTATATGCCGGCATAATTAATAAGGAATGGAATTAGTTCATAAAATTAAAAAACACATAATAACCATAAAATATGTATTATATTCTATTATAATGTACTCTATTAAAATACCTCTCTATATAAAGAGGTAATATGCAAATTTGTCTGGGATGCTGTAACAGTCATGATCGGACAAATTACCTCTTTATAGGCTGTGTGCACAGATGGGGGTGGGGCCTGCTGCACAGTGAGGCAAACCATGGATGGCACAGACAACTAGCAGGCATGCAGAGAGCAGGCTGGAGAAGGGCCTGCCAGTCACCACAGCCATGATCAGATCCATAAAGAGCAGCGCAGAGCAGGCCTGCAGACGGAGCTGGAGCCTAGAGGCAGGGAGGTGAGCCCAGGCCACGGCCACTGGGAGACAGTGCCCCAGCAGGCACGACTCTGTGCGGGAGCTGCAGAGGAAACACCTTTTCTGACTGCTCGTTGGCTAAGCTCCCTGTAAGCCACTCTCAGTGTTCTTGGTAACTTGGGTAATAAGAATCCAAGAAGGCTATCTAGGGTCTTTCCTCCTCACTCCTGGAGAAACAAATGAAGATCCGCTACTGGAGGGTCTACGAAAAGTCATTTCCTGCCCTAGCCAGTTTGGCTCAGTGATAAAGCCTTGGCCTGTGGACTACAGGGTCTGGTTCAATTCTGATCAAGGGCATATACCTAGGCTGCAGGCTCCTCTCTGGCTGGGGCCCAGGTCAGGGCTTATGCAGGAGGCAACCAGTCAAAGTGTCCCTCTCACACTGATGTTTCTCTGTCTTTCTCTCTCTCTTTCACGTTTTATAAAAATCAATGGAAACATATCCTCAGAAGAGAATAAAAGTCAAAAAAAAAGAAAGAAAGAAATGCCATATCCTATGAAAGAGGCATCTTGAAAATGCCTAAAGAAAGTTGTCATTTTTTCATGGTGAAGGGACTGGAGTCTGTGTTGATGAAAACACTTTGGCAGCTGCCATGACCAGCAGTGGCAGCAGCAGCAGGGTGATGGAGGTGGTGTCTTCCCCTGATCAGCCTGCAGTGGGAGGCCAGACTGCGGTTTAGGCCTGCTCCCGTGTCAGCAGGCCATCCCCTGAAGGCTCCTGGAGTGTGAAAGGGGGCAAACTGGGCTGAGGGACCACCCTCTCCTTCGTGCACTGGGCCTCTAGTCTGACTATATTTATGATATTCTATAGTACATCATTTAGAAAATAATTATAACCCAGTTGTTTCCTTATGTTAGTTTTGTAATTGAACTGATTCGGACACATACAGAAGAGAAATTAGTTCAAGTTTCACCAGTATGTACATCCTCCAAGAAGACAAATATATATACTCATAGGCAGCATAAAATATTGTGTCTAAGCACTGAATAATTCTGAAAATGAAACCATCCCTCCAATTGGAGCTTTAGATGTACCCTCCTGCGTGTCCATGTACATTTTCCTTCATTGACTCTACCCCCAAGGCTTTCACACTTAACACAGCATGTCACAGAATGTTGTGCCTGATACCACATTTCATGTTTGGCCATTTTTCAACCTCACCAACATTGTTTCAGTTCATTATTAAGTCACATTTTTATTGAAAGTTGCCCTTTCCCTGAAAATAGACCAGAATCACTTTACTGGTGTTTGCAAATTAGAGATTTTTAGGCTCAGAGTCCTCAGTCAACTATGCAAGGGAAAGGAGGACTGGCCTATTTTTTGCTTTTGTTTTTAGTAAGGCCATCAAAGAGTAACTTACCACCTACTGCCACTCTCATTTTTTAACAGAAAAAGGACATATAAAATAGCAGTCCCAAACCAAGGTAGGATAAAACTCAGAATGAAAGTCTTTAGCAAGACGGAAAACTGTCCCCTTTCATTGTGCACTTATGTTGTCTCTGTGTTGTTCACCTCAGACCAGAGAAAGTTTGGTGCCAACTGGCCGACACTCCAGTGAGGCGCAGCATTTGAAAACAACCAGTGTCCTCAGAGCTGCATATGCTGTATGCTGAAGGAAAGGGCAGTGTTCATAGTCTCATAGATTTTCATATTTTCTGATTTTTAACTCACTTTAAAGTTTTTAGATATTTTGTCATTGGAAAACAATACAAAAACCATTTTTAGTAAATTGTATAAAACATATAAAAATATTTTAAATTATTCATCTAACTTCTGTATAACCACTTCCCAGGTCAAGATATAGACCCCGTCAACCCTAGAAGTACCACTCCTTGACATTTGTCCTTACATCAACAGAAACTCATCCATGGCCACAGGATTAATTTGCATTTATCCACTATTTTATTACCTTTCATTGTTTTCCCACCTGTATCTATGCATCTTGAAAAAATATAATTTACTTTGTCTGGTTTTGAATGTCTATATGTAGACTCATAGTGCATATATGGAATTTTTGCTTTTTCCTATCAGTATGTC